TCCGTGTCCTCTCTGTCATATGTATCCTCGTCTTTGTCGAAGAACTCGGTATCGCCGAAACCACCCAAACAGTCACCGGTGTCGTTCTCATTGCCATTCAGTCAGTTCTCACCGGTACCCTCGCCATCCTCATCGGTGTCAACGCCGTCATCTCAATCATCAAACAAAACCCCATCGAAAACGTCGTAAGGAAGCTGGTAAGTCTCTTCTCTCCCCATCCAAACTTTTCAAAACTAACCTCTCTTCAAGAAAAACTCAATCGCGACCTTGATAATCTCACTCCTCTCGACGCCCGCAACTCTCTCCTCATGGACTCTAAATCCAGCATCCACTCCTATGAGGCTGATCCAAAACACCCATACCTACACTCCACTCACGAGACGCATGAACCCTCAAGTTTCATGAATGAGCCCGCGAACCCATATTCGCGCAGCCAAGAAAATCTTGTCGATGGCGCTGCGCCAGTGGCTGGAACTGGGCATCAAAGTCGACAGCCTACCGTCCCGAATATGAATATAGGAGGTGGGAATTCCGGGGGAGCTTACAGGGGGATGGCTTATTAGATCTCTGTTCCATCCCTCTAGAGGAAGGCAGAAAAGAAAAGAAGAAAGGAGGGAATGACAGGTGTCTTCACACAGAAGTGAAGCACAATAGCATCCCATCTCATCTCATTGACCAATTGGCTTGCTAGCGAGCCGATGGACGATAAAGAGAGAGAGGGTATATCATTAGTATCATATACAAGATAACGATTTCCTTGCGTCACTTAGCGGTACAAAATTCTCTATTTACTGCATAGGGTTCTCTTTGTACAGGTACGGGAGGGAAAGAGAGGGATGTTGGATATATGTGTGGAGTGGGATGTGTGGTTTATTTGAGTTTGTTTCATGCATATATGGCACATACCCTATTTCCTTTTATTCATTTATCTTTTCTTGACTCTTTTTTCTATAGTTCAGTTTTAGTGGGTGATACTAGCCGTTATTCAATAAGAGATATATTATTATATGTTATCTATGTATATGTAGTTCTTTGTGAGCTCTGCGAGTCGATTAGTTGGATCTATGCCTTTGTAATTGGATTTATTTACATCCTGAAACCTTGATACGTAAATCTATACAGCATCTTAGATCACGTCCACCTGGGTATTTGATGTCTGTTGCTTGTATATTGTTGTCTGGAATAAGTCATATCTATTTTAATTTGATCTTTCAGTTTTCAGGCAGACTATTCTTTCTTTACCACAACCAACTTCCTCCGTGGTAGCCACCGATCAAAAGCCTGGTCCCTACGTAGTCTCATAGAAATCACGTTGCGTCGACTGCATGATATTGCGTGAAAGTCGGTCCAAATAAACATCATCGCATCAATCAATCCGGCCAATTGACATGGCGTAAGATTGACATTGACTCAACATTGTAACTCTACCTCAAAGATACTTTGAATAAACGCAAAATTGTAAAGTTAGTTATTCAATAAATAAACGTCATTGTGATTCACCGAACGAAGAGGAGGTTAAATTCGCTTCTTGTCCAATGGTAGCAGTGCATGATTAACTGGAGAACGATTGTAAACTGGTAGGTCTCATTGTGTAGTAACGTTCGCTAGGTCGGTCTAGTTATGTCGTAGAGCTTAGACTGTGATTACATCGAGCCCGAAATCATGCTTGTTCTTTGTCTTCCTGACTAGGTTGCACTTCTCCGTCAAATAGATCTTACAAGAAGATAAACATCGAGTGTGTTAAATCTCGATCTCAATCCTCTTCGTAACCGGAAGATCTCAAGGTTCTTGAACAAGGCCCCAAAGGTCTATGGTACGATGGCCTTGACTCGTACTTAGGCCACAATAGTCTCTTGAAGTACAGTGTTCGGGAAAAGATTCCGTCAGTCGAGTAACGGTGCTATAATGATAATACAATTGTTTGATTTTCCATAGATTGTGTCCAACGAAATTGTTCCCCAACGGCTTTGATGGTGTCACAACAACGGCATTAAGATTAGCATGACCACAAGAAATCACATTTTGCCTGCACTTGTAGAAAGAAGTGCATGAACAGCGTGCCGCCGAGACTATCGAAATTCAGAATAAGGTTGGCACGTTACTCTCGAAATGCAAATAGGGCCACACTACTGGCCACCATTCGTGGGAAACAACATGGTGCAAGCTTGCAAAGACAACCCCAAATTCAAGACATGAGATCATCAATCCACGTGATAAGTGTGGTGTTTCCGTATGGGCGAGCTGCATGAGGGCAGATCACTAGAATAGATCTTCAGTACTATGATCAGGAAAATGATGTATTCTCAACGAATGAATCATGAACTACCGGCACTTTCGATAAGTTGTTTCGGCACATCGCGAAAGCTTAGACCCAATCACATGTTGGTCATTGTCTTCAACATCTCTCACTGGCCTGGCCGCGCGCTTCTAGAGAAAGATAAGAAGCCAATACCTTCACATCTTATTGATGGAGTTGATAACAAATAAAGTTGTAATGAAAGCGCTTACACGAATGAAGTCTATTGTTAGAGATATCAATATTTGACCTTGGCCACCACGTTGATATATTTAGCTTTGTTTTTCCTTTTTAATATTCTGACATCACTCCTACTTGAGTTTCGTTTAGAACTGAAAATTATTTAGCGAAAGATGAAGGGGAAGATTGAATCGGAATACAGGAAACTTCCTGTGTAACAACTCAAAGAAGAGCTGTGCAAAGAATCTGGATCAATGTTATTCGCAGCAAGCCCCTCAACTGAGTCAACTCGTATTATGGGCTAAATTCCCAAAAGAATGCTTGTGCGTGGAGCGTTTCTAACCCCAACCAATTATTTCTCATGGTACAGTCAGTACATAGACAGCCACTTCCGTGATTCTACAACATCAGAAAACTGAGAATGGTTTGTCCTAGATTCCAATTAATTTACTGCACATTCAAACCGGTGTGATTATTTTTCAAAGTACATGTACAGATACCCTTGTTGTCGGTCGACGATTCGACATATTGACATGTCGTTGAAACAAATCATTCCCGTACTTCAGTCTGAGCGTACTGCTGCAGGCAAAAAGTGGATGAACTGGCCAATGAAAAGAAGATGAAATGTGCTTGGAACTTTTGATATGGGACCAAGAAATCAATGTGATAATAATATATCCCAAATATTTACTCGCCCTCTTCGCCGCTCGGTCAATCAATGGATGGATGGATGACAGTTTGGATCAATGAAGCCGTAGCATTTTGGTACCGTGATTACAGTGTCCAATCAAGGCGATGAAGGCTGGCTCAGTCAAATCTGTTAGGCTTTCTTCTCTCTTCTACCTCCTTTCATCAATTGCGTATCGCAAGTGTGACTCGAAAAGTCGTAAGCTCCGTTCATAACTTCAGCATCCCCATCTGCATACACAGAGTAGAAGATGATTTCTCAAACATCGGATAAGAAAGAAGAAGTCTATCCATGAGAATATTCTAGTTGGATCCCAGGGGACGGACGTTTTAATTTATTGATTGCTTGTCGATGGATAGTCATACCCGGATTGTCCAATATAGGAGTACGAGAACCAATGTTTGGATAAAGTAATGAAGTCAATGCGAAGATAGAAATGACGATGCTATTCAGATGCACATATAAATACATTACGGCTTAGATTAAATCATTACAGGCTGAGCTAGCTAAGCTAGCTAAGCTGGCTGAGTAATAAGAAGTTGTCTAATAAGCATCAAAAGTTTTGCAAAATGATTCTAAATTTTAAATTTTGAATTCTAAAATCTAAGTGAGCAGTGAGCAGTGAGCACATGGAAGTAGTTTGGGGGTGGCCAGGGGGGAAAAGAAATGGATATCGGACAGCACGAAACACCCTTGGATACTTGGCGCGCTAAGAGAAATGGAGAGTGGATTATGAATGCTCAAAATGTTCATGCAGGGTGGGAGGTCTCAAACCAAAATAGCCCCTTATTTGAATTAGTTGCATGAGACTAAACTTATCAAAGATTAGCAGAGAGATTTGCTACTGCCCAATCTGATTAAAGCAGGTACGGAAATGCTGAGAACAGGGGTATGACTGCAAAAGTTCAATCTGCATTTGGTTGGAAGGGGAAGAAGGAGGAGGAGGAGTGAGGGAAAAGGGAAAAGGGAAAAGTAAGAGGGACGATCAAGAACATACTCTGACTGGTCAATACTGGAAGGGAGATCTTTTGAAGAGAGAGAGAGCAAAAGAGTAAAGAAAGAGAGCGAAAAGATCTTACCGCAACATGAAATTAATCACAGATCTATACTCCGTGCTAACACTCACAAATTCATCAATCTGCCTATTACATTAACCATACCATCTCGTCTCACCAAGAGGCCAAAAAGATCGTATCATACGCATCTTTATCGATCCTTCCCTTCTTACACCCCAACCTTGCCAGCTCGTCCACTATCTGCCTGCTTGCTTGGCGATTGTGTCCTGTACTTTTCATCGTTTTTCTATCCCTCTATCATTGTACTCTCCCTCCCTACCAATCTTTGGATATCTTTCAATCATTTTACGCCCACCTAATATCTATATTTTGATTAATCTTTCTCCCCCCAATTTTAGGAGCCGGCAACGAATCTTATGAACCCATATAGAACAATTGATGGATAACGACAACGACCTATGACGAACCAAAAGACATACGAAGTTCCACTTTCTACCACACATCATACGGATTCATACCAGAAAGCTTCTCCGTTCTCCACTCGGGTATTGAAATCCATACAGATTACATACATATGAATATCGCGTGCGTCGCATACAGCAATACATCCATAGGTCCCATACATACCATCCATACCCATACCCATTTCCAACCCAGAATCCCCGTCCTTCGGTCGAAAACGAAATTGAAGAACCTTTCATCAATTCAAGGATTCATTCAACTCCTTGCCAGTCAAGCCCATTAAGCCCACCAAAGCCTGAGACTTCTACAATTTCGTTCCATCCATGGTTTGGAATCATTGATTGTTCTTCTTTGAATTCTAGGAATACCATTCATCTACTGGATCATCGAAAGAAAATTTGATATTCTTGCAATTTAGTATCTATCTGTGATAATACATTCGAAACCAGACATATAAAGCATACTTACACAAATCGCATTGAGCGCTTCAGAAACAGAACATCCTCGGCTTTTATACTATTGTAGATCAAAACAGGGCGGGTCCTCGCTCGTACCATTCGTGGCCTGCCCCAGGAAGCGGACGTGATTGTTCGACAGCCGGTCAACTCCTATTATACCGTGGGTGCCAAATACCATACCGGTCTCATCAGTTGTCATACTGGCATACTTGTTTGTACCATTCACGTTTCGATTGCTGTGCATTCTTTGCAGTTTCTTTTTTTCTTTTGAGTCGCCATTCACCATCTCAAGAGTCGCCTTCGTTTTATGATCTGAGAAAACAACGTTGCAATCTTGGGTCCTTTATCTACACTTAGTTGTTTCAGCTTGCCCGCACTTAGAGGATCTGTTGCCAAACGCCTTACACTTCGAAATCGGGACGAACTGAATCTTCATTACAAATTCGACTTGATTGGACATCTTGACGGTGACTTCTTACGGGCTTTCAACGCCTATTGTTAAAGCATTGTAGCTTGCTGGAAGACATACCCGTCGTTGACGACTCCGTTCGAATTCCAACAACCACCGAGACCTGACCTCCGACAATTAGTTTCGTCGCTTTGACAGCATCCTTTCAACTTATCAATTGATAGACATCTTCTACATTTTTCTCATTTGGCTCATAATGTGCCAAGATACATAACGGAAACGAGGACGAACCTTTTACCATTCGTAGCGTCGATCGGCCTACCCGACGACCTGAATAACGAATGAACACGACCACGACTGAGCAAGATAATAATGGCTCTACCAAAACCAAAATATTCTCTGGATGATTCCTGTTCGATACTATATAACAATACATTATACGCATACAATAGCGAAGCGTTTCAATCGCTATCGTTAGTCCAAGGAGCGAATTGGACGCAATTACCCCAAGGAGAATCTGTATCGGGAGGAGTTTGTGTAAAGGCAACACCTGCTAACGGACAGGATGCATTGTATATTGTCGGTGGAACGAGCAGTAATGCTACAAGCCTGTATACAGGTCTTCAACGATATAATTTTAATGATGGAACATGGGACACCTTAACTACTACAGTGCTAGTCGCTCAAAATCGACTATGGCACAGTGCTGTATACTTGAATGCATCGGACTCCATTCTAATGTATGCAGGAAGTCAAGATGGTAGTAAAGATCCATCATCTCAAACCTTCACAATTTCCGCGTCGCCTCCATACAATGTTCTGTCATATGGGGCTTCTATCACACCACCTGTACCCGCTGTGCAGCCTCTATTGCTTCCATGGTCATCAGACTCGGCAATCTATATTGGCGGTACTGACACGAATACTGCCGTGATGGAATTCAATCCAGCAACGGCCTGGGCTAACACAAACAGCAGCTTAGCCACTCCGATATATAACACTTCAGCAGTCAAAGCAGTTATGATGACGGGCGATGATGGAAGCAAGAACCTTTATACTTTTGATATGACAGTGACACCAAACACTGTAAACAGGACCGTTCTGGTTGATGGTTCTGGTAGTCCCGTGCAAAGCGCGGAGGCTATTGTGTCAACAAGTACCTCTACAAAAAGAGCTACGCAAGAAGTAAAAAGAAGTAGTCTCACGGAAGATGACTGGCCTGCTTATAATGGTACACTGGCTCCAACATCTACGAGGACATCATATTCGGTCGCAATGGGCGCAGCTGGACAAGTAGTAATATCGGGTGGAAATGAGGATGATGTTCTGTGCATATTTGGAGCGGGAACAAATTCTTGGGTGAATGCAACATCAATGTTGGTGAAGTCTACCACACAACAAGTTATTGTACCATCAACATCCTCTTCGATTACAAGTTCTTCGATACCTACAAGTACTGGTAACACTACTGCGGCAGCCGCTGAATCGACCGATAAGGTTGCCGACACGTTTCCGGTGAAAGTATTGGGTGCAGTACTTGGGTCTATAATCGGGGCCGCTCTACTACTCATTGGTGTATTAATTCTTTTCCGATGGCGACGGAAGAAGAGAGATCTCAAAAATGCAGATGCAAATGGATATCCTCTCGAGAAAGATGGTTTGGAATTTTCGGACAGAGGTCTGGCAAATATGCACTCATCAGTGCATCCGCCACGACATGGACAGTCGGCATCCCAGGGTTCATTTTCATCAATGGCCATCTTGATGGGTCGTATAGGACATCGAAGAGGAGAGGACGACAAAGGTAACGGGAGTGCTGGAAGTGGCAGCAGCAGTCAATTTAACAAGAACTACAAAACCACAATAAATGAGCCTACATCACCTGATCGGACTTACGCTCAAGATGCATTGGCAAAGGAAGTTTCATTCGGTCAAGATACGGTTACACCACGACCTAGAAATCCTGGAGCGCAGAGACGAGGCAGTACAAGAAGATCATCGGGATGGAATCGATATTGGTCTGGTGGAAGTGCAATGACGAGTTTTTTGGGGTTTGGAGAATCAAAACAAAATCTTTCTAATAGTGACGATGATGCCGCTTCACGATACTCGGATGCAAGACTGCCTACACAGCTTAATGCTTCAAGACTTCCCAGTCAGATTACCACAACATCCGCTTTGGTCCCTCCATTGAAGATTCCGATTCCAGGAGATACTCCATTATACCGGGTGGCTACCAATAGTCCTACTGTATCTACCGCCGGGTCTCATTTCCCAGTAGCAGCAGAGATGTCTGGCAAGATTGAAGGGCTCCGACCTGACTCTTATGCAAGCAATGCTTCATCTTATGATGGAAGATCCGATGCATACTCGAGCGGAGTTCCAGAAAGTGTAAATGATCCGGACTCATGGGCAATGGGTAATCAAGGCTGGTCTCAAAACAGACCAAGTAATGCATACACTGTTAGCGTATACACCACCAACAGAGATACTGTTGGAGGGAATAATTTCTCGCTCCAATCACCTCAACCGCCACCACCCACTCAACGACAAAACCAACCCTCAATCCCTTCGGATATGAGCTGGTTAAACCTTGGTACCAAAACTCGAATATGATACCCTCTCTTTTTGTACTGTAATCTCGCATTCTAAACTCTCACTATGTGTTCTTATATTTTCTTCGTTGACATTAGCGCTGCTGCATTTTCATGTCCTTGTTTACAATATATCCCGTATTGTTGCACATGCTGGGGGTTCTTCCTTGCACGGCGTGGAAATGGGTCATTATTGCTAAAAAAATCCGACAAGTCCGGCCGCGTCTGGCGTTTTTTCCTTTTCACCATATTTTTCTGGACTCGTTTCCACAAAATTCCCTCTCATGTTCTCCTTACTCGACTTTTCGTCCAACTTTTTTGATTTCTTGGATAACAATACTAGTACTACTACTACTTTTTCTTGTTGGCGAATACTGATGTCTTGTATGACATTGTACTGTACTAGATCTTGATCTTGCATGATCGGAGTTATTATCTCTTTTCTTTGGATGTTTGGGTGGAGGCGGAGAGTGTACCTTGCCGTGCAAAGAAAATCTCTTGGGGAAGGGGGGTGTAGGAGATGTTGCATTATGGTATGGGCCGTCATTGGAATGGATATAATGCTTAAATTTTGAGGAGGTGGTGCGGAGGATGGGAAGTCGAAAGTGGCAGAGTAGAGATGAATGTGATGGTGGTTCGCTATATCTGTCGTGTACGATGTAGTTGTGTGTAGTGACGAAGGAATTTAGTAGTAGTTGTTGTCGCGAGGCTGGTGATGAATGAGACTCTTGCGTATTCGAAGATACTATATTGTTTCTGTTTGTGAATGTGAATGACTTCGTGTTTTTCCTCATGTGAGATGATGGTCTGTATATGTATATTCTTTGGGCTACTAGATATTTATACTCTAAACTTCTGTATCATTCATCTTTCATTTCCCCTCTTCTTCCTTTGGAGACTGTATCATTGGTATACATAGCTTTTTCACCGGTCTACGTATTATTTTGCATTCTGAATTTCCTTTTCTTACCTATAGCGATGCCTCTCGAATCCTAGAAATGACCAGCAAATGGGACAGTGTTCAATACACAGACAGATATGAGAGCAGAGTTTCCGTGTTCTGGTTTTCTAAGATAAGAAAGAGAGGGGAGGGGGGTAATATTGGTTTTGGGTTTGAAGTGCATGATTTCTATGCACGAAATGTGAAATGTGAAATGTGATTTATTGTTTTACGAGGACGGGATGAGAGTCTGTGGATCAGGTGAATTTGGAAAGCTGGGATGATTGGGATTCTTCGGCTATGTATTGATGGGGGACTTTGCTCATTTATTCTATATCTTTTGATTCATTTCCTCGCTTTTGCTGGGATGCATGTGGATATCGGGAGGCTGTTTTGGTTGATTCACTTTCTCTGCACACCTCTCTGCAGTACACTCATGTTAGTGGTCGCATTGGTGAGAAAAGATACGTGCATTGTTAGAGCTGGCTGAGGCATTGAATGGATTTTGCGATTTATCGCCCTCGTCTGCGTTCTAATTAACTTTGAAGCCTCCTCGCTAAGGAATGGCTCTGATGCAAGTCCAATTTACGTTGTTTCACAACTGTGCTCGTTCGTTTTCGTAAAGTTCCATCTTTTGATCTGGATTATGATAATGTATGATACAAATACACTATGAGAGTTTGACAGTCGACGAACCAAGAAAGCAAAAATGACATCTCGGCATTATATCGCCTGATTCATCCCCGCGACTCCAAGCAAGCCTCCTAGCGACTCAATCCTATACTTCCTCTTCTTCAACCCTCCAAGAACTAACTCAATCTCAGCAGCCGAATACGATCGTCTATCGTGCATGATGATGATACCTCCCGGTCTCGCCATACTCAAAACATGCTTCGCGTTAATCCTCGCATTGTGGATTTGCGGATCATGAGGATAGATACTCCCCAACGCGACGCGATAACCCCACTGTCTTGCCCTCTCCAACATTTGCGCATTGAAGAATCCGGAGCCGGGACGAAAATACTTGGGCGGGATTTTGGAGCCGGAAATCGGACGATTGGGCGGGAGAAGATCCTCGACTTCTTTGATTTGCCGCTCGAGCTCGGAGATGGGGAGCGAGATGGATGGCTCGTCGGCCCAGGCGTGGTTTCCTAGCTCGTGACCTTCGTCGTGGATGCGTTGGATTAAAGAGGGGTGCGAGGAAACTTGACTTCCGATGATGAAAAAGGTGGCTTTGGCGTCGTAGATCTTGAGTAAATCTAAGATTCGAGATGTTTCCCCTGAAGGTGCATCGTCGATTGTTAACGCGATGACGCGGTGGGCATTTGAGAGAGGGATTTGGAATAGAACGTCAGGATACTTCCATTGGAGGTAATTGATGACGAATTGAGGGGGTTTGTAAATGGTATATCCTAATAAGAGGACTATGAAAAGAAGAGCGAGGAGGAACAGGAGAATCATTTTGATCATGTGGAAAGATGACTGTTGGTGTAGTCGAGTCGGTAAATCATAGGAGT